AGATAAAGACAACAAACCAGGACTTAAACCAAACCGCTGCAACAATGACAAACCAGATAAAGACAACAAACCAGGACTTAAACCAAACCGCTGCAACAATGACAAACCAGATAAAGACAACAAACCAGGGCTTAAACCAAACTGCTGCAACAATGACAAACCAGATAAAGACAACAAACCAGGAGAAAAACCAGACCCCAGCAACAACAGAAACAACAGACATGGATACAAGCCTAAAGCCAAAAGACGAGGATGCAGACATCGAGTCAAAAGACCAGGATGTAAACAACAGCCTGATTCTATCAACACTTGTAAGTTTTCTATAGGATTATTCAAAATAAAGCAGACATATCTATCAAATCTCATAACTTGATTGCCCATATTTTACAGCTGTTTCAACACGTGTCCTCTTACTTATTGACTTTTCCAGATTGCTGGACTGACTGGTTTGACAGAGATGACCCCACTGCAACAGGAGACTGGGAGTTGCTTTCTGATCTGCGCAATGAAAACATAGGAAAGATCTGCAATTATCCACTGAAGATCGAGGTCCAAACCACATCTGGACTCAGTGTAGCTCAAACAGGGGATGTGATTGCTGTGTAAGCACTTTTTGAATTGTTTTTTCATTTATCTTTTACTAACTGATGGATTTTCTTTTAGTTAAATGTGAACAATAGTAAAGCTGTATCACTATGTAAGGAAGACTGAACTCCTCTTGTGTTCTGCAGAGCTGACACAGCCATGGGATTCATCTGCAAAAACTCTGACCAGAAACAGGGGAAGTGTCACGATTATCGTGTCCGCTTCATGTGTCCCACTGAATTCTGCAGTCATAAAGGTAGCCGTGAGTCAAATCTACATATTCCAAAAGCTATGATACTGATGTGAATTATTTTGCTCCTTGATTTCTAGTGTTAAAAAATCTGTTGACTAATAGCCAGCTGTTTTGTCTCTTTGTCTTGTGGCCAGTATGCTGGACAAAGTGGTTCAATCGGGACAAACCTAGTGGAATTGGGGACTGGGAGCTCCTGGACAACCTCAGGAAAGAGAATCCAGGAGAGATCTGTGAGACCCCTCTCTACATAGATGTTGTTACCAGTGACAAAAAAGTTCCAGCCACCTCCACTGGGCAGTCAATCTTTATGTAAGTATATTAAATTAATTATTT